AGAGAGCGCTAGGATTGAAGTTCGCTGCCCGAATTGGGGTTTTTTGTGGGGTCGGGGATGGGCCGGACCTATCAGGCGGACGCCGCCCCATATTCGCCCTATATTTGGGCTGGATATGAGGGGTGCCGGTCAGCCCGGGCGTTTGTCCGCGGTTTGAGAGGTCCGGTTGGGTCGATTTTTGCTGACCGGTCAGTGACCGGACGGCCTGCCCAGGCGTTTGAGACGGTATGAGAGGCCCGACTGTTGATGCTCTTAGTTATGTGTGTTAGCGGGCGAGTCTTGATGAGTTTTCATCTTCTCACCCATAGACAAGTGTTTGTGAGTGGTGATCTTCTAAACTAAATTCTGGCTAATTGAAGCGGCTGAACAAGCGTAGAACGCAGGCGTAGCTTTTGTGGCCCGTGATGAGCAATGAAGTGAAGCAGAAAGGTACTAGCGGGTACTGGGTACGCGTGCAGGGTTGGCGGGACGCAGACGATCCACGGCCAGCCCGTCCGCCGCGCCGGTGCCGGTGCACGGAAGCGGAGCGAAGCCATACGGGGGCCAGGCCGGGAGCCGAAACGTGGCGCCGGGATGAGCTGGCCCAGCGCCGGTTTTGCCGGTGCGTGCCGGTTGGTCGTGACGCGCCCACTGGCGTCACCCTTCTTCTCCCCGGAGCCCCAGCTATTTTTCACCGCGGGCCCGGCGGGCCGTGATGCGCGTTGCGGCCCCGGCCCCTCCTCGTTCCCGATCCCCGGCTGGCCCGGGCCCACGTCGCGGCAGCAACAGGATATATCGCCTTCTCCTGTTCCGTCCGGACCCCACGTCCCCACGTCACAGGCAACGAACTGGCCGTACTAAAAAAAAGGGCAACGAACTGGCCGAGCTGCACACGGAAATTTCTCGGACTTCGTTCGTGCTGATTTTTGTGTCCGGGGGCGGCGGTGAAAACCGGGCCGAGTTGAAAAAACGGAAAGGAAAAAAGCTCGGCGATCCGCGACTTTGGGCGAGCGTGGAGCGGCTTTTGGAATCCCTGGGGCGGCGGGGCCCGCGTGCCGGGCGTGGTGGGGGCAGGTCAACTCAGGTGTCGGCCCCACGGCCCCGCGCGCATGTGGGGGCACGCGATGCGGCCGAGCACTGTGAACGGATTCCCAGCGCCACGCGACCACACCTTTTTCTGTATACTACTGGTAATAATAATCCCGGATGATTAGATAAGATTAGATTTAGTGCTAATAAGCTAAGCCGAATTTGGGCTTAGCCGCATGACAGCGCATGATTTCTTGGCCACCAATCATTCCCCGGCCACCAATTGAGTTTCACTGGTGGCGGCAGCTGAATTAGTTAATTACTTGTATGCTTATGTATGTATCGTCGCTGCACAAGGGGCCGGGAATTAAGGCACTGCGCAACGGAACAGAGCCAGACAGCTAGGTAATTACCCAAACGGGCATGCACCTGGCCTGGATCTAGTTACGTTTAGGAAACTCGGCGGAGAATCTAAGCAGATGGTGCACATCAAGGCCGAGTAGACGCACTTACTTTGCAAGTGAACAAGGTTCTTCCAGCCTAGAAATACTCCTGATTCAAACAGAGCCCGGGGCCCCGATCGTAGCAGCAGCTAGCCATCTAGTGGCCCCGTGCGTGCACAGAGAAGTAGATCAAAATGTGCAACATACTTTGGATTGTTGGATGTGTAAATACTTTGGAGTATGTAGCTATGTTAGCCGTGATGTCGTACATACATACGGCGGCAATAGAGTGGTGGGGCAATGGAGTAGAGGAGAGAAATGCATGCTGGACCGATCGATGGTACCAGCAGAGAGCAGGCCCTTGTGAACGAGGTTTGTACACGAGTCAGGTATAGGTACCGGTAGTAGGAGGAGTATAAAATAGACGAGGTGGGGTAACCGACGATGGGCATTGGTACGTACAGTACAGAACGCGTATATGCATGGTACGTTGGTACCCGCGGACGGACGGCTGGCCGGGTATAACGGCGAGGATGCATGTGGGGTGGGTGCGGGTGTGTCGCCGGCGCGCTGAACCCATGCCCATGTGCCCCGGGCCGGTGCACCCCACCGCCCGGCCCTCCCACGAACTGTCCTCATGCCTGCCCGTGCATATGCGGATGTGTATGTACGCACACACCTCTCCGTTCCGTCGGGTCCTATGCGCTGCGCCCCTAGACGCCTAAATGTTCACCGATCCCGACGCATCGACTTTCGCTCGAACTGTCTGTCTGTACGTAGCTAGGGCTCTGAGCTCCCCTGGTCGACGAGCTCATCTGACTCACTGGCTATTACCCATGGCATATATCGATCTCCCCCTTTTGAGTGCTTCCTTCTGTTACTAGC